AAATGTGCGACGGATTTCCTGTCGCGAAAACAAAAAAAGAACTACTATGAGATGCTTCAGAGGTGGCGGATTTCACCGTCGTGTCTGTACCCTCTAGCCCGCGTTTTCGGGCGGAAATTACCCTGTATCTACAGGGTAAGAAAATGACTTGGGTTTATTATTTGCGGAGTTTTTCCAAGCTCACAATCTCTGTCAGTTATCTAATCTGTGCAGTACAGGGGAAGAGTTAAAATGGTGGCTCTAACATATGGCACAATATCCTGTATCGCACAAATCGGCTACAGGGAAAATTTCTAAATATCAACAAAAACCATCACTCACAAAGAGTTTGCATTCATTCCATATTTGATTATTCATAGGATTTATTAGATCACTGCTGTCTGTACTACTTCACAAATATTCTCTGCAGAACGTCCTGCATTCGTAGCGCTCGCTGTGCTTCGTGAATTTCCCGATCCTACGCTGGAACCGTCATCGCAACAACTGTCACCTTCCAGCTCGTCGTCTATACGTTGCGCACCTGCTCTAGTAGGAGCACGCAGCCGAATAGCCTTGAGACCGGGAGGAATTGTCGCTCCTCCCTGCCATAGATCGTGCCATGTCTGGCTGCAGGTGGCCGAGTTTGTAGGTCCACTAGGATCATGTTGCCGCACCTTTTGGCATAGATACACCTTCCCTCTTCCAACGACGTTATCGTCATCCACGCTCCGCATCCTCACTTCAGAGCACTCCACACAGTAAAACGTGGTTTCCCACGGGTTCTTGCCCGGACGCAGCAACGAGCACACTTTGCAGCCGTATTGACGGCGCTTCTGTGAGTAGGTCCCGTTCTTTCCACGTGTTGTGCGAAATACGCTCACTTGTTTAGTCGTGTGCTGTGCTGGTAGCGTGTAGCGCGGAGCTGACGAGCGGGAAACCGGAGTGTCTGCCAATGCTTCAACTGACAAGTCTCCTGCAAAGTCAGCCGGTCCAATGTTGGGTAGTGCAGTCTGCATCAGCCGCTGAAACTCAGCATGTGTCGGGGGTGCTTTACCGGGAGCAAGATTGCCTTGAATACGTTCGATAGGATGATGTATTGCGTTGGTAAGCGCCATGTCAACTAACCCAAGAAAAGATTGTGTGGTAATAATTTCTTCATTTTCATCGCTCTCTG